GAGCTGGTCCTGGAAACTCACCGTCAGAGGGCAGGGGGTCTCTGCAGTGTCCTGGGAAGGGGAGGAGGAAGAGGAGGAGGAGGGAGTGAGTGAGCCTGGGACAGGGAGAGAAGCAGAGAATGAGTTCCATGTACCCCAGCTTCTCCCACCCCTCCACCCCAGCCCCCAGTGCCCACCGCCTGGACCACTCACCTTGACCCAGTGCTGCCAGTGCTGCCAACAGGCTCCTCTGGAACTCATCCGCTTCTGCAGGACTCTGAAATGTCAGCCCAAACTTGCAGTCACCCAAGCTCCAGTGATGAAAGATAGGGTTCACCTTGTTGTAAATCAAGCCTGGCCTCAGGGTACACTCCAAGGTGGTCTGAGGGCAGGAGAAGCAGGTCAGACACCTCTATCCAGCCATGCGGAGGACTTCTCCTCCTCCCCAGCCTCTCTGCATACCCCTAAACCTCACTTCTCTAAACTAGGTGTACTCCTGAACCCTGACCAATATCACTCCCCGATTTTATTGAGCAGACACCTGATACTCCAATATTTACCCCAAACCCCCTGATTCCTACTTTTTCCAATATCCTGCCTCTGATAAACCAATAGGAATCCCAAATCTTATTGAATGCCTCAAAAAACTAATTAGTCCACTTCTGATAATCAAATATCCCTCCTTCTGACTCAATAGTATTCCCCAAACTTTATTAAACTCCTCAAAATATTACTGTTAATCCCCTCTCAATGCCCCAACAATCTCCCAAAACACTACCCCCCAAATTCTTATCAAACTCCCACAGATTCCCCAACACATGCTGATCAACACCCTAGAGCAGTGACGGCGAACCTTTTGAGCTCGGCATGTCAGCATTTTGAAAAACCCTAACTTAACTCTGGTGCTATGTCACATATAGAAATTTTTTTATATTTGCAACCATAGTAAAACAAAGACATATTTTTGATATTTATTTTATATATTTAAATGCCATTTAACAAAGAAAAATCAACCAAAAAAATGAGTTCGCGTGTCACCTCTGACACGCGTGTCATAGGTTTGCCATCACTGCCCTAGATAATCCCTTATATCCTTGCCCAACATCATTATATTCCTTCACACCATTTCAAATTCCCATGCATTGTCCCTTCTGACCACTCCTCTGAAATGCAACCCTTCCCCCAAGTCTTTGCAAACCATCCAGATCTTTTTACTACACCCCCAACTGAAACTTTAACACTGTTCTTCCCTATCATGCCAGACAGCCCAGAATATGCCTGCTGAGGCTATGTTTATCCCATGGTATCTGGTAGGGTTGTAAGTCCTATTTGACATTCCCAGATAGCCCTCCACCAAATGCTTCCATATATTTAGGGCAGATAGGGGCCAAGAGTGTAAGGCACTGCGGTGAGGACTCTGGACAAGATGGAGCCATGAGAGGTTCTAAGCAGAGGAGGGATGCGATCTGAGTCATGTGTTAGCAGAGCCCCTGTGGTACACAATGAGGTGGGGGAGGGAGCAGGGCAGGGAGAGCAGTGAGGAGGCTGCTATGATAGTCCATCAGGTGATGGCAGTGGACAAGACCTGCCTAATAATCCAAATGTTCCCGAAAGTCCCAACTTTTATCCATAGGACAGATATCCACTTCCAAACTCCATCCCACACTCAGGTTTGATTCCCAGGCTTGGAGATGACCTGACTTCACCTCTGCACTCCCAGGCCCATTTCCCTATTTTCCCAGGCCCCCACCCTAGTCCCGTGCCCCAGGGTGGCTCACTTTCTGGTCCCGGAGTCGCTCCCCGTGGATGACGTAGTGCCCCTGGCGGGCCCCCCCCTCGGGCCTGGCCCCTTGGACCCGACATAAGCTCACCTGGCTGAGGCCCCCGCCCCCCACAGGCAGCCAGCCCCCACTGGAGTCATCTCGGGCCATCACCACAGCTCGGACCCGAACCATGTACCTGGAAGTGGGGGGACAGGGACAACATGGTCAGTGAACTCCAATCCTGTTCTCACATTTGATGTTCACGAACCCTTCATCTCCCCTCTTCATTTCTCACATCTGGATCCATTACAACTTTCACCCTTGATACTCAGCTTACCGTCCATTTCTACCTTCTTCCCAGTACCCATCTTCTCTCCCTACCCCCTTCTTCCAGCATGGCTTCTTTCTTCCTCATGCCATCTCTTTTCTCTCATCCCTATACATCCCTTCCTTCTACATACCTACCTTTTATTTCCATACCCCTTTTCTCTCTCTCTCCATCTTTCCCATCTGAACCCCCACAGCCTTGGGTTTCCACTTCCCTTCCCCCTCCTGCTCATACCCATCAACCCCATCTCCTCCCTTCTCTCCTCTCCTACTCATACCCACAGCCCCACCCATCCTTCCCCCTCGCAGCTGGGTGCTTGCGCATATGTATTTTCTTAGAGCCCATCAAGTCAGCTCCAGTTCCCCCTTCACTGCCTCTGCACCCTGTCGCTCAGGCCACTGGGCTCTCTTCCCCTCAACTCCTTCCCGCATTTATGAATGAGACCGGATGCAAAGCTCACTGAGTCACCCAGCAACGGAGATGGTCAGGGAGAGAACCAGAAACGACCAGAAAGAGGCTGACAGGGAGATGGAGGCAGAGGAATCCAGAAACCGGCGACAGAAACACATCCAGAGAGCATTTCATTCACAACACACACACACACACACACACACACGCCTGCACCCTCAGGCCCCAGCCGGGAAGGTGAAGGGGAGAAATTGGCGGGGGAAAGGGGTGGGGGTGGATCCCTCCTACTCCCCGCCCCAGCATCCTTCAAAACCATCTTACCCCGCCCCCAGCTCAGGAGACCTAGCCCTCTGCCCAGTATTAGGGCCGTCGTCCAGCCCCTCACTACCGCCTAGTGCAGGGACCCTGGCGTCCCAGACTTAGGGACCCATGCAACGAACTCTGGCCCTTTCCCCCCCGCTAGCAGTCTACCCGTTTCCTCGGCCCTTCTATAGGGGAAGGGGAGGCCGCAGAGCCGCTAGCGCCCCCAGCCCCCTTTTCTCAATGGGATGGGATTTTGTGAATGAGCAGTCACGTGACACTGCTTCCTTTGTCCGCCCGCCTCCCCGGACAACAGGTGAAGCAGAGAAAAAGGGCAGGGGTCCCTGCAGGGCCTCCCTTTGAAGGGACGCCGGGATTTCTGGGTGCTCTGTGCTCTCCAAACATCTGTTTCCCGGAAGGAGTGGTCCCCACAGCTTCTCAATGGTGAGGGTCCTGTACAGAATTTTATGAATGGAGCATCCTCGGAGGAAGTCCAGGCCCCCCAAATGGAGACTGCTACCCCAAATGGCTGCCGCGCAGTTTAGGAGCCCCCACCCCCTTGTCCTTCCAGCTGGGATCTGGGGACGCCCAGGTGGGCAGGGGATGCCCCGGTGGGCAGGAGACGCAACGCGGTGCAGGTCGTCCCCACACCAGGACAGCCCTCGCCCCCTCACCCGCCTCGGCACCTGCCTGGGAGGCTCCGGCCGGGCTCCGAGCGGCAGCGACGTGGCCTCCTCCTCCTCCTTCTTTTCGCTCCGGCTCCCTCGCTTGCTCCGGCGGCGCTAGAGACGGGCTCCCGGAGCCGGGGCGCGGGGGTAGGGAGGGGGAGCTTGGAAGATGGGAAGGGGAGGGAGAGGCTTAGGGTGGTGTAAACGCTAGGCGGGAGTACTTGCCCGCTGGGTCCTAGAGCCCGGCACCGGCTCCAGGGAACAGCCCCTCAGCCCCCATTTTCTCAGGATCCAGAAAGGATACCCTACTTTCCCATCCATGAGCGCCTAAGCTTTGGGGAAGGGGTCCGGGGCATGGCCTGGTCTCAGTGTTCTAAAGAGGCGAGGGTCTGCGCTTTGGGTACTGGACGGAAGGGGCTCAGTGCCTGCTGGGTTCGAAAGGCATGGGCGAGAAGGGAGCTTTCACTAGGGGGCGAGGTCTGAGGGCCCGGGAAAGGAGAGACAGGACGCCCAAGGCGCACACCAGTGAGTGCGTCCTGGAGAAGGGCCGGTCCATGGTGGATGGGCTTTCTGGGCGGGCGATGGACAGAGAGGGTCTTGGGAGTTTAGGAGTAAATTGTTTTGGGGGAGGGGCGCATGAGAGATCCCAGAGAGGAGCTCCGAGGCAGAGTTCCTAATGGGGGGGCTTAGGGAGAGGGCCTAATGGCGGGCGGGGCGTTGTAAAGGGGCGGGGCTAAGGAGGCCGTTCTAAAGGGGTGGGGCTTAGAACTCCGAGGCCTAGCAGTAGGGAAGACCCCGGAGTATTTCAAAGGGAGATCCAGGTTCGTTAGAGGCCAGTTTCAAGCTGTGTGACAGGAGGGCGTGGCCTCGAGCCAGTGGGCGTGGCCTAGATCTCGGGGTCCGCCCTAGGTGTCTCGCCCACTCGCCTTCACCCGCACCCCCGTTCTTTTCGGTTATTTTCTTCTACGGCAGTTCCCCGCCCCGCCCTGGGCCCAGGGGGCCGCCGTGTGAACTTTGGTGGGCAGGAGAAATCGGTGAGTGGGAACCCCTGGGCGGAGGAGCCAAGGGCGGAACTCGAGGGAAAGGGTGGAGCCTGAGGGTTGAGGCCTGCGGTAGAACCGAGCAGGGAAGAGTTAGGATTGAGCCTGAAGCTCCGCCGCTGCTCGGGTAGAAGGCAGGCCCCAAATGATCGACATAGAGAGAGATCAGAGGGTTGGAGGTGAGGACAGAGGGCTTAGCATGACTGGAACACCTGGAGTTTGTTAGGTGGAGGCGGGGCCAGGCCTGAGTAGGTGTGAAGGAGGCCCGGTTTCCTGACAGTTGGGGCGGGACTAGAGAGCGGGGGTGGGGTTACAGTGCGGGGAGAGAAGCGTGAACTTCTTGTAGACCTTAAAGGCTACTGAGCACACCCCTCATGAATGTGGCCTGAGCGAGAGGAAAACGGGCAAGACCTGTGTCTTGGAGCCTGAAGACCTGGGAGGTGGCCAAAGTGTAGGAATGTGGTGTGAGGGACCAGCCAGGGCACTGGGGTTAGAACCTCATTAAACTAAGAGGATGTATAACCAGCAGCCATATGGGGCCCTGGGGAAGGAGTCAGGGAACACGAGTGCGTCTAGAGAGACTGGTGCCTGAGTGGACCAAGTACAGCCAGTCTCGTCGGGTCCCCACAGATCTGGCAGACTGACTGGTGCAAGTTTTTCTGACCACAGTCTCCGACCTCCGTCAGAAATGGGGAACGTGCA